TGGCGACGATGGGGAAACGCGGTGGGCCGGCGTAAGTAGTAGGATCAGTAAGGGAAAAGAGACCTCCGCGTGTCAGGATGGCCGAGTGGTCTAAGGCGCCAGACTCAAGGTTAATCCACCTTCCCTACCGGGCTTTCTGGTCTCCGAATGGAGGCGTGGGTTCGAATCCCACTTCTGACACATCGTTTTCTTTTTTTTCCCCTTAACAGACCTAAGAACTTTCCCAGGATCTGCTGGTATTTTCTTCCCTTCTCCAGGAAGACGGCTACGACTACACTGTACCCGTCGCCTGTGTTCCCCACTACCCGTTTGTCCGTAGGTGCAGCAGTTAAGCGGTTGCTTAGTAAAGAGAAGGAGACGGAGTCCGCGGCCTCGTGAGCCCTGCGTGGAAAGATCCAGCCAATCACAGTCTCGCTCACAATCACGTCATGTAATAGAGGATTAGTCCAGTATACCCGGAGGCAGAGGCTACGTCTTCCCCGCTCATAGTTTGAACAAAGTCTTCCTTAACGTTTTCGACAAGTGTCAGAATCATTTTTCTCTTCAACATCATTGATTGCCTGCGCAATTAACTGCCTGGAGAACAGTGTTGGCGGTAAGTGCCGCAGGGCAGGGCAGTCAAAGCATTTCCGACAGCTCCGAGGCGAACTGTAGGCGTGGCAAGAACTGCTCTGCCCTGTTCCGACCTGATGGGTCGCTGGGCAGGCTGCCCTGGTGGCGACGATGGGGAAACGCGGTGGGCCGGCGTAAGTAGTAGGATCAGTAAGGGAAAAGAGACCTCCGCGTGTCAGGATGGCCGAGTGGTCTAAGGCGCCAGACTCAAGGTTAATCCACCTTCCCTACCGGGCTTTCTGGTCTCCGAATGGAGGCGTGGGTTCGAATCCCACTTCTGACACATCGTTTTCTTTTTTTTCCCCTTAACAGACCTAAGAACTTTCCCAGGATCTGCTGATATTTTCTTCCCTTCTCCAGGAAGACGGCTACGACTACACTGTACCCGTCGCCTGTGTTCCCCACTGCCCGTTTGTCCGTAGGTGCAGCAGTTAAGCGGTTGCTTAGTAAAGAGAAGGAGACGGAGTCCGCGGCCTCGTGAGCGCTGCGTGGAAAGATCCAGCCAATCACAGTCTCGCTCACAACCACGTCATGTAATAGAGGATTAGTCCAGTATACCCGGAGGCAGAGGCTACGTCTTCCCCGCTGGCGTAGTGGTGAGAAATCAGCTCTCTCGCTGCCGCGGCCTGGGTTCGATTCCCTGGCCCAGGAAAAATCTTCCCTTTTCCTCCCACTTTTCTCTGGGGGTTTGTATCCTCCTCTTTGGGCAGAGATGTTAGTAGAGAACAGACTTACTGAGGTTTACCAGCGCCGGCTGCGTGTCAGGCATTGACCTTAAAACATCTCCCTGGGTGTCCTAAGACGGTTAGGAAGGCACCTGTCTGGAGGGGCTGTCGGACAGGACCTGAGCTCCGCTCAGTGGCTCCCGTAATTGTCGTTATGAAGTCCGGTGATTCTCTCCGACCCGAACACCTACCTTTCTATTTTGAAGATAGATAGAAATAATTTGAAATAATGCCACAACAAACGCGGTGTCCTTTTCACCTAGATTCGACACTGCTTAATATTTTGTCACATTTGCTTCGTCTCTTTCTGTTTCTCTGTCTGTCTCCCGCTTTCTTTCTCTCTCGGAAGATAAATGATAGATGGATAGACATAGGTATAGCTTCCCCTGTCCCCCACGCATTCGAAAGTCGCAGACATGACGTGACACCATGTCACACCTAAGAAAATTGACGTTAACATGACATTGCACACGAGTCCACATTCAAATTTCCCCCAATCGTCCCCCAAATATGTTTTATAGATGTTTCTTTGCTGTTTTTCTAAGAACTTTTATTGCCCATTTTTTATTGGCACCCCTGTGGAAAATAATAGATTTTAATAATTAAAAACATGTAAATCACATTTAAGTTCTGTCTTGACATTTTTATAGAATTTGGAGCTGCCATGCCTAATTTGTTGTTGTTTTCCAAAGTTCATCTCTCCCTGGGCACTTTTCTAGACCTCCAGGCGGGGCTGTGATGTCATACACTCTACCTCCCTGCTAGCTATGACCCAGCTTCCCAGAATGATCACAGTCCTGAGGACAAAGAGTCTTCCCTCTGCTTTCCTGTGCACCAGCCTGGGCTTCTGCGTAATCTGGCCCAGGGTAGAGCCTAGCACAGCGAGCGACAGCTAGATTAGCAATCAGGTTGAGCTGAGTTCAAATCCTGCTGGTTCCTTTCTAGCTGAAGGTAAGTTGTTTCTCTTCTCTAAACCTTAGTTTTCTCATCTGTAAAACCAGCCAATCAAAGAATGAGGAAGAGAATGAAATTTTATCTAACCTTTAAGTTATATTTTTAAATCTTCCTTGATCTTCAAACTGAATTGAAAGGAATCTATGCATTTGTAACAACAAAGGGAAAGAAAAAAAAAAAAAAAAGAAAACCTGGACAAACAACTTCATGTGACTGTGATTTCCTATAGTGGTAAAATTAGGAAAATTTTTAATTTTCTTTGCTGTAATTTTACGCATATGCTGAATTTTCTACCATGAGTAAAGTTTATTAGTAGAAAAATAATACGCTTTACTTGAAAAACTGCTCACACATTACTGGAAATTAACTTAAAATGAGTCATAGATTGAACTGTAACACACCTAAAACTACAAAACTTTTAGAGGGAAACATAGGAGAAAATCTTCAGGACCATGAGCTTAGTGAAGAGTTCTTAGACGTGATACCAAAAGCATGAGCCATAAAGGAAAACATTATTAAATGAGATCTCATCAAAATTAAAACCTTGTTCTGTGAAAGGCCTTGTTAAGAGGATATAAAGATAACCTACAGTCAGAAAAAATATTTGCAAGCCACATTTGTGCCACGGGATTCATATCTAGGATACATAAAGAACTCTCAAAACTCAAGAGTAAAAAACCTAACAACCCAATTGGAAAATGAGCCCAAGACATGAGAAGACATTTAACCAACATAATATATGAGAAAACATTCAACATTGTTGAAGTACAAATTAAAACCACAATGAGTTATCAGGACATACTTATCAGAATGGCTAAAATAAAAAATTGTGGTGAGGATGCAGAGAAACTGGATCACTTACACATTGCTGGTGGGAATGTAAAATGGTACGGTCATTCTGGAAAGAATGTGGCAAATTTTTACAAATCTAAATGAGCATGTACAATACCAGCTAATAATTACCCTTCTAGAAATATTGTGTTCATACAGAAACCTATACACAAATGTTTATAGCACTGTTTTTTGTAATAGCTCCAAACTAAAACAACCTAAAGTCCCTCAAAGGGTGAAAAGTTAAACAGATGTGGTACCACCACGCCACAGAACACTACTCAGCAAAAACAACAAATGCTTACTGCTTGCTCTGAAATTGGCAAATTCTCTGAGTTCCGTGTTCCTCAGCTGCAACACAAACCCATTGCACGAACAGTGTCCCCCTGGGCCCCTTTGCCTCCTCTGGACTTGGGGACCTGCAGTGCTCATGCTGCTTGCTGTGCCATGAGTATTAAGTTCTTTGTCTCTGACTTATAAGCCTGGCGTTTTCTGTCAATATCCGTGAAACTGTGACAGGCTCACTTGCTAGCCTGCAAGGGGAATAAAATCCCAGATCCTGCTGGAGTGGGGTTCCTGGGCAGCATGGTGTTTTGTCCCAACCTCAAGCTCTGAAAAGAATGGCACTATCTCAGCTGGTTCTGAAGGCCTTCCTGAAGGCATCTTGTTGCCTTTGATGATGAACTGTCCCGTCACTCATAACCACCCGGCTTCTTCCTGCGGCCCTCTGGGTGATTAACTCAAACACTGCAAGACATCCCTTAGAGACAAAATTCAGGGCAGGTTACTGCCAAATGATGGGCTTCTCTAGACCTCATCCGTCTACCCAGTCATCTCATTATCTGTCTGCTTGAAAGGTCTCAACGGTATCAACTCCATATGTCTGCCTCTTCACCACTCAAAGCTGCCAGGACAAGAAGATCCACCAGAATGGAGAAAGGAATGGGGGAAGACCATGAAGCCCCAGCCCTGTGCATCCCGAGAACTTTTATTCATTCAAACATTGCTGGATGTCTCCAAAGTGAGTCACTAATTGTTTCAGAAACACAAAAATCAAGAGGACGGAGAAGCTGAGCATAGAATAAGCAAGAGGATTTGCAGTTTTATCTGAAGTTAGGTGAAGATTTTGACCAATTTGGACCAGCATTTGTGATCTCAGGCAAATATTTAACCTCTTTGAGAATCAGTTTTTCTCATGTAACAAGAGAAGCTGAGCATAGAATAAGCAAGAGGACTTGCAGTTTTATCTGAAGTTAGGTGAAGATTTTGACCAATTTGGATCAGCATTTGTGATCTCAGGCAAATATTTAACCTCTTTGAGAATCAGTTTTTCTCATGTAACATAAAGTAATTTTAGAATATGTACACCAGGGATTGCTGTGATAACATGGGAAGTATTGAGTGTGTTGCTAGCCACACGATTTCCTCTCTATAAGTTCCTATGTACCCAACTTCTCTTAAAATTCACAGTCATGGGAGACGGAGGAGTGGAGGTAGCGAGGGGAGCTAGAGCTAGACCCAGATTAAAGGAATCATAGAAGATTGAGGGATCCCAGAGGGCCTTGGAAGGCAAGGGCCTCTCTAGCCCTCAACACTCAACAATAAAATTATTCAGTGCCACCTAGAATATACATAAAACACTTAGGGATAGGCTTAAATGTAACATGCACTTTATTGTTTTAATCACTCTATGACATCTTGTTGTTGTTGAGACATTGCTAATAAATCCAAGGTCATAGGTGGCCAAATGTTCAAGGAACTGCTTTTCTTGGACTTGGGTGGCACCTCTTGGACTGGCGTCTTTGGGTAAGGATGGAGATAAAGTGAGATGGTGAGTTTTCAGTCTTTTCCTGGTGGAACTGGGTGTCATGAAGTTGGCTATAGGACACTTTTGGAGCGGGGCTTTATTGGATCCCTGGGGTCCTTTGTCAAAGCCAAGCCCATGGCCTCTTGGATGCTCCTAGCGGCTCTGAGCCCTGATTTGATGGCCGTGTCAATCCAGCCATGGGGCAGGGCAGTGTGCTCACCAGCAAAGTGGACCCACCCTTCTGGCCAGCAGAGCTCCTGGGCATAGTCTATATATTGGCAGGGGGTGAAGAAGGTGAAGCCGCCCATGAAATAAGGGTGCTGGCTCCAGTGCTTGATCTTGGAGTAGGGGCACAAGGCCCGGAGCTCCTCTTTGGGGTGGTCATGGACAGCGGCCAGGTCATCCAGGATGACATCCACCACCTGGGCATGGTCCATGGCAGCAAAAAACATGGAGTCACCATCCACAGTATAGAAGGCCAGGATGACCCCTATGCCATTGGGGAAGATGTGATTGGGGTAGTAGATGGGAAGGCCAGTCGGTGCTGGACTTGCCACCGAAGATGCTGTTGCATTTCCAGAAACGCTGCATGCAGGCCAGGATCACTTCGGTGGTGCTGCTGTAGTGGACAGAATGCAATACATCCTCCTTGTCTGGGGAGAGAGGCAGCTGAAAACAGAGAAGCCAGGCAGCCTTGGCTGTGCTGTCCACCACCGCACAATCGGCGGTCGGACGAGCCCGGGGCTGCAGAGGATCGGGTGTTTGGTGAATGATGTGGATGCGGTCTCCAGATGTCTCCAATTCCTCTGCTGGTGAATGGAGGTGGACTGTCCCCATCAAAAAGGCATCGTGCAGGGCCTGGGGGAGCTGGTCAAAGCCCCCAGTGATTTCATCAAACCTGAGATTGAGCAGGCAAAGGAAGGAGAAAGAAGCCGGTTGATGCACAAGGCCATGCAGAGGATTGGTCCTTTGGACTGGGCAGTGGCTGAGTCTTCTAATAGTCTTGCTATTGTGTCTAGTAGTCTTGCATGTGTGCAAGGGAGATAAGCATTGGGCCACCCACTCAGGGTGGCCCTTAGCTCCAGGAAACTAGGAAAAGGCATAGATTTGGGCTGACAATCAGAAAAATGCATCCCCCGTGAGCATGCCCAACCCCTTCTTTCCCCTCAGTGGCCACCTCCATGCAGAATGCCTGGCCTCGGGGCTGATAGAGAACATGGGCTTTTACGGGCATGCTCAGCCCCTTCCATAATGCCCCTAGAGAGAGCCCAACACTGGGTGGCCCTCAAAGAATGCAGTCTTAGCATTATTATCCCCCACTTGGTTAGTCTTAAAACCCCCTTGTTTTCCATTCTCCCTCTGTGGCAACTCTTGGCTTGAATTTGAACTGATTCACCCTGAGAAAAAAGGCTGGGGAGAAGTAGAAGGAAGCAACTGGGGAACGAAGAGGCCTGGATGCTCAAATCACTAAATCTATCAGGGCTCACCAGCTCAGTTGCCCTCTTGTAAATGTCTGTAGTCTGTTGTGTCTGAATCCCGTCACAGAACTCTGAGTGAAAGTAAATCCCAGTTTAGTTTATTTTTGTAGCCAGAGATTGCATGGTCAGTGACTAGGGGTTTGATGGACAGGGTGTGTGTTAGGTGCCCCTGATACAACTTCCTGGGCTGGAAGTTAACAAGTGCCCCCTGCATGGACCCCTGAAGCAGAGCTAAGGTGACAGTCTGTGTAACAGAACAGGTGAGGCCCAAAGCAGAGCAGATCTGTAGCCTCTCGATATCCCCTTAGTCAGTGGTTCTCAAAGTGGGGTGCCTAGAAAGGCAGCAGCAGCCTCACTGGGAATATGTCAGAAATGCATCACTCTGTCAGATCTACTGACTCTGTGGGGAAGGTCCAGCCATCTGTGTTTAATAAGCACCCTTCCACCTCCAGTGATTCTGAGTCTCACTGGAATTTGGAACCCCCTGCCTCCCCCATCCCTCACTCCCATTTCCTTTGGGATTTTCACCTGATTTATCTAGTTTTTTCTTTCTACCACTGTTCTCATTGGTAACTGGTCAACCCATGCTACCCACCTCATTACCCACCAGGGCTCCTGGAAGGAGGAGATGCTGTCATGCAAAGTTTCTATAAAGGCTTCATAGTAGCCAGCATCTGCATTCAACAGGTCCCCGATCATCTATCGGCACAGCCCCAAGGCTCAGGTTCCCCACCTTGATCGGGTGCTCCTGCAACCATGTGCAAGGAGAGAAGGTAGGTAGGTCAGAATGTCCAGGGAGCCAACATGAGAGTTCCTGCTTCCCACCCCAGGACAGGGAGGAACAGAAATGGACAGGGTGGAATGTGCCCTCAGCTGGGCCCCTAGGGACTGCCGAGGGACTACCTTGCACTCAGAGCTCTGAAGATGGTGCTTGAAATGCTCCCTGGTCCTAATAATGCAGAAAATAGCCACTACTCAGGGTCACTTTCCACCTACAGACACTCTTCTGAGCCCTTCACTTGTATAATCCTCATATATAATCCTGAGAACTCCTGTTTTACAGATGGGGAAAGTGAGGCTCTGTCTTCATGTCCACCTGCACGTATATTAGCCCCGGCCTGGCTTCTCTGACCTGCCTCGTAATGCCAACCCAGGAGGAATCTGGGTAGTGAGTGTTTCTTTTCACTCTGCTCTGACTCCCTACATCTACCCCTACCATCCCACTGTCCCGGCCACCCCTCCAGCAAGTGATTGTGAGGTTCTGCTTCTGATGCACCCATTGATCAGTGATTGTACCCTGTGCTTTGCCCCTGCTCCCTTCTCTCAGGCAAAGCTAGGGAGGATATAACAGCGCTGCCTGGAAGATCTTCACTGGTTAGGGTGTCTGACCATCTGGTCCAGCTAGGGCTGAGGGGTGTCGATGGCCAATTTAGTCCCCTTGTCACCAGTGTAGGCAGGCCTGGAGGCTGGGCATCTGGGGAGTAGGCCTGAAAGGGGCCATCAGGATGGCTGGGCCCTGCCATCCTAACATATGCCTGGGCAAAATGCCTTTTATAAACATGCTTGTTTAAACCAGACATGAGACTGCAGGACCCCATAATCTCAGGGACAGCAATGTCAGAAAGTGCTCAGACACATACTGGTCAATAAGACCTTTAACTTCGACAATCTGGACCCAGAGAAGTTGGTCAGCTTCCAAGTGAGGAAATTAGTTGCAGGGGATGGATGGTGGGGAACGGGGCACTGGGGATCATCTCTGGCTCATCTTTTTCACCAATCCCTCCCTCCCTGCCTTTTGAACATTGAGTATACAATAGCCAGACCACATATGACAATAGGACTTTGACCTACAACCTTTGAAAAAGCAAACAGCCTAGGAAGCCAAATCACAACCTAGCAGCAATCAACCTAGGTCTTGGTCAATGACTATCAGCTTCCCTATTTTTGCACTCCCTCCTCTGCTCAGCTTCCAACTCAGAACCAACCAGAGAAACCCAAATATCCTCCCCTAGCCAATGACACAGGTGCCCACCCTTCTAGTTAGCTGCCTCCAGTTTCCCTACGCCAACAGCCTCCGAACAGTGCCCATCAGAAACCTTCCCTGTTTTCCACTATATGTATACAAGACTTTCCCACACCTTTTCCTGCCTTTGAGCTTCTGCCAAATGCAAGTGGTGGTGGTTGACTCCCTTGATATAGCAAACTGTGAATAAATAGTCTTTGGTTACTTTCCTTTCGGTGGATTATCTTTGTTTATTTCCTTCCTTTTCTTACTCTCTTCTTCCCTTCCTACTTCTCATTCTTCCCTCCTTCCTTCCTTACAGTATGATATGATATTTTGGTGGAAAATAAATCAGGGAAGGGCAAATAGGAAGTGACTTTCAGGTGGAGAAGGAGGGAATTGTCTCAATTCCAAGGAGACATTTGAACCAAGACCTGAAGAAGGTAAGGGGTGAGCCATGTGTACATGTGTGGAAGAGCATCCAGACACATGAAACAGCCAGTTTAAAGGCCCTGAGAGTTTTCTCGATGGCATAGTTAATAAATAGCAAGACGTGCAGATAAGCAACAGAGGACTCTTCCTTCTTGGGGAACCACGAGCCATGGGAAGGTTTGGAGTGGACCTAGGAGGACATCTGTGTGCAGGGAGGGCAAGTCTAAGGCTGAACATCCCCTCTCCTGCTACAAGTCTGGGAAGGGGGTGATGGTTCTGCCACAGTTTCTGGGGAGCTGTGACAGGGTGGGATGTGAGCAGCAAGAATCGGGGATGCTGGGCCTGGCCATGGTGGAGTAGGAGTCGTACTTCTTCAGCACCCGGCTGCAGCTGCTCCTCTCCAGCTCCTCCACCACCTGGGCATAAAGGAAGGAGGGGAGAAGGGTGTGTTGGTGAAGGTCTGCTTGGTACAGGCCCTTGACCCTGCCCCATCCAGCCCCCATGTTCCATGGTCATTTGTTCACTCTCTGGGGATGCTGGGCCTGGCCATGGTGGAGTAGGAGTCATACTTCTTCAGCACCCGGCTGCAGCTGCTCCTCTCCGGCTCCTCCACCACCTGGGCATACAGGAAGGAGGGGAGAAGGGTGTGTTGGTGAAGGTCTGCTCGGTACAGGCCCTTGACCCTGCCCCATCCAGCCCCCATGTTCCATGGTCATTTGTTCACTCTCTTCTCCTTGTGTGTGTCTGAGGCTTGCTTTATATGAGTCCTGGGCTTCAGGAATGTGTCCCACAACCAGACTGGCGTCTCCCATAATGGAAACTTCACTTCCGCCCTTAGACATACTTCAGGGTATGTAAAAGTAGGAACAAGGGCTCCGCATCGGCCTTGGAGCTCCCAGAGGTGGGAAGTTTACCCCCTTGTCCTGTATGGGGACATTTCTGTATGCCTCTGAGGCCATTGTGAATGTCATGGGTGCTGGAGGGCTTTGAGTGAGGCTGGACCAGAGTCCAGGAGCTGGGCACACTTACGCTGAGCCGAAGCAGGACAACACTTCAGCAAAGGTAGGACACTTGGGCAGAGGCCTCCCATGAGCAGTGTCTGTCCCACGAGTCAGGCCGTCACGCCAAGATCCCCTTGGGCCAGGGGTCAGGAAATACAAAGGCACTGTCAAAGCTGGGTAAACCTGGGTATAGTGGATTGAATTATGTCCCCCGCAAAATCCTTGAAGCTTGAGTTATGTCCCCCAAGTTTTATGTATTAGAAACTTGGCCCCCACTGTGACTGTTAAGAGGGTGGGAAATCCTATTATGGTAATTGAAAGGTGGAGCCTTGAAGAGATGATTGGACTGTAGGACCCTGCAGTAGTGAATGCATTAAAAATGGTGGTCAGGGGTGTGGTTCTGAGGCTTTAAAAGAAGAGGAGAGTCTGTCTGTCTGTCTCTCTCTCTGTTCTCTCCGCTTCCACCATCTTGCAATGTGAGACCCCTCGGTCATTGTCGTCACCACCATATGGACTTTGGACTTCTGAGCCTCAGAAACTGTAAGCAATACTCTTTCTCTTTCTGCTCTCTCTGCTTCCACCACCTTGCAATGTGAGACCTCTGGGTCATTGTCGTCACCACCATATGGACTTTGGACTTCTGAGCCTCAGAAACTGTAAGCAATAAATATCGTTTTTCTTTATAAATTACCCCATTTCAGGTATTTTATTATAAGCAATAGGAATGGACTAATACAACAGGCCAGACAGAAAAAGGTGGACAGGTGTTGTAGGCAGGAACCAGCATTGTTTCTCCTCTTTGACCACATATCTATAAAGATGACTATAATTCTGGCACTGGCCATGTGGCTGGCACAGTTCTGATCACTGTATGTACATGCATCCTTTCACTTAATCTCACAATCAATCCAGGAGACAGGCTCCAGTACTATGGTCATTTTACAGAAACTGGAGCACAGAGATGGCAAGTGTCTTGCCCAGGGTCACACAGCACATTCAAATCCAGAGTTCAGCTGTGGGTCTCTCTCTGCTTTACCCTGGATCTGCCCATGATGATTACAATGGCAACTGATTTGCTTTCTGCTCAAGCACATGTGGAAATGTCTGGGATCTGAGAGTGCACAATGACTGCTGAGCATGTGGCTGAGATGGGAAGCGGCTGTGAGGGTAAGGCAGGGCAGACAAAGGCCAGGCTGGCGAGCCCTCCTGTGCATGGGCCTGGGGTCTGGGGCAGAAATCCTTCCAATTCACTTAAGGAATCAGAAAAACTTGGGGAAGTTTGCCTGAGATGACCCAAAACTGTTGGCAACCTGCATCAGAATCACCCTGCTCCCCACCTCGGCTTACCTTCCACAGTGACTTATTGAAGAGACGTTCTGCTGTCTTCCCCACCTCATCTGCCCTGACTGGGTAGCCCAGAAGGCTGGGATTGGACTGCACATCCCCCGTGAGCTGCTGCACCCCATTGATCAGCATCCTGGTCTGGTTGTTGTAAGGGCAGAACTCCTTGAGGTTCAGCCCAAACTTCCTGATGAACTCATGGGAGAGCCTGTGGGGTGAGTCAAAGACTACTCTAGCCAGAATAAGAAAGCAGCCAGGCTTCCCTGCACTCACGTCCTGCCCCCCACAGATTCTCTAGGGCCACCTCTGGCCTCCCATCACAGAAGGGATGGCAGGCCTCCTGGTCACCAAACCAGATTAATGGCAGTGGGACCAGGAGGGAATTGAGCCACCATTCTTGTGGTCACGCCACACCAGGCTGGCCTTCTGCATTGGCTGAGATCTCTCTCACTTTGCCTGAGAACTGTGGCCTTCAGGCCTTCACGTGTGTCTACTCCAGGTCCTGGAGGTGGCATGAAGGAGGCCTGGGGAGGGTGCTCCGGGCTCATCCTCTCCCGAGGCCACGTGCACTGTTCCCAAGCCTCCAGTCTGCATCCTCAAACCCCCACTCACCCCTTCAGGATGGCCCCCCTGGATTCTGGGGCTTCCGTGAGACACCACACCTTCTAGGAACAATACTCATATTTATGTCATTAGCAAACCTAGCAAACTGCTTCTGACTTTCCAAGGTGCTCTCCCATCTTCATTATCTTTTGTGATCCTCAGTACAGCCTCCTAGGTAGTCAGGGCAGGTGTGGTTACGCCAATTATGTGGATTAAAACATTGAGGCCAGGAGAGCTGTGAAATGAGTTGGATCAGATTCCAGCCCTCTGGCTTCCAGTAAAGGACTCTACCCACCTCTGTGTTTCTCATCCTTGGTGCC